TTTATGTTCTTATCATGCACTACTCAGTTCATGTTTATTTGCACAACATTAAAATGCAACAACTCGCTTCTTTTCAGAATCCGCTTACTTACATCTCATTTTTCAGCCAGCTGTCATACTGAGACGCTTTTCAGCATCCACTCCAATCTAATTACAAACACTTTCTCTCACAGAAGATCCAACTCCCCTCAGAAACACAGTGTCTCGCACAAATCGAAATCAGTTAAAACTATTGACCTCAGCAGTTCAATCATGCATTCATTTCCCTTCGGCCTAGTCTCAGTATTCATCACAGGTCACCACAGCAAAATGAACTGCCAACTTATCCAGCATATGCTTTACACAGTGGATGCCCTTCCATTCGCAACCCAGTACTGGGAAACAGCCATGCATACTCATTCACACATACTGTACACACACCCATACACTACATCCAATTTAGTTCATCTAATTCACCGCATGCATTTGGACTGTGGGGGAAACTGGAGCCAAGATGGAAAGAACATGCAAACTCCCCACAGAAACGCCAACTGACCCAGCCGAGGCTCAAACCAGCGACCTTCTTGGTGTGAAGCCACTGGGAAATATTTGAAAAATAAAGAATAATGAAATAATGAATAGTCCAACCATTTTGTCTGTATATTTTCAATTATTTTTAATTAAATGTTTTTCTTTTTATTGCAACATAGAATTAATTTGAAAAAAAAAAAAAGTTAATTCAAAAACCTATTCATTAATTTTAATTTATAATAATAATAATAATAATAATAATAATAATAATAATAATAATAATAATAATAACAATAATAATAATAATAATAATAATAATAATAATAATAATAATAATAATAATAATAATAATTTTCCCAGAGATGGGTTGCAGCTGGAAGGGCATCCGCTGCCTAAAACATGTGCTGGATAAGTTAGCGGTTCATTCCGCTGTGGCGACCCCTGATTATTAAATACTAATACGTAAAAGAAAATGAATGAATACATGAATAAACATTTATATTAATTAAATTAAGAGTTTGGCCACTGAACATTTTTAGGAATACAAAAATAATACATCTAAATTCACGAGTTGCTGCAAAAAATAATTACAAATTACACTTTTTTACTAAGTAAAAAAAGTTAAACATTTTTGTTTATTAAAATTAATTTTACTATTTTTTCTCAACATATTAATTTGGGTGTACAAATTTTTGGACTGTGACTTTCAGTTGTTTGCAAGAATAGTTCCAGTCAACATTAATCCCCCTCCTGTGAATTTTTATTCTTTTTCATATATTTCCAGATTCAGGAATTTTTCACAGTATTTCCTATAATATTTTTTCTTCTGGAGAGATTTTTTGGCTAGAATAAAAGCTGTTGAAAAATTTTCTAAAACCCATTTTAAGGTCAGTATGATCAGCTTCCTTAAGCAATATTAGTTTTGGATTGTCTCCAGAACAAACCACTGTTATACAATGACTTGCCTACTTACCCTAACTATAACCTAATTACCCTAGTTAAGCTTTTAAATGTCACTTTAGGCTGAATACTAGTGTCTTGAAGAATATCTAGTCTAATATTATGTGCTGTCATCACAGCAAATAGAAAATAAATCAGTCATTAGAAATTATTATGTTTAGTAATGAGTTCTATTTGTCACAGGACTTATTTCACACAATGTAGTTCAATGTAGTTCCCGCAGACGTTTCTGGAGACCGCAAATTATGTAGCCGGAGGTACGTATGGCTGCATTTAATTTTTTTTAAGTGAACGCTATGGGACGGTATGATAGCGTTCCTTTTGGTGCTAACCGGCTGACCGATTAACACTGTGTGGTGGGTTTTCCCGCGGCAACCAGTTTGTCCAGCTAGCTCGTCGTGTACTTCGGCGAACTTGGGGCGCAGAGAGTAGTTGACCACGACGACGACAACGACTGGGATCGAGTTCGGAGAAGAGCGGTTCCAGAAATCAGGTAAGACGAAAAGAGAATCCAAAAAATAAAATGAAAGAGTGAACAACAGGGTGAGAATTTGGTAAAATCCGAAAACGTGGTAAAAATCAGACAAAGGCTTTTCCTTTTCTGGATGGCTTTTGTAAAAAGTCGGTTGGGTTTAGGGAATTAAGCGGGCGGGCGGGCGGGTCAATCAGTAAAATTGGTTGGGTTTAGGGAAAGCAGGAGGGTGGGTCAGTGTATTGGCCGGTTGCCCAGTCAATCATTCAGTCAAACAGACAAAGGGTCAGTCGACAGCGGCCTCTGGTGGGTTCATGCCAGAACAGCGCGAGCACAAACGGCACTAGTGAGAGATATTTGCGATGTAAAAAAGCACACACAGCGGCCTCTCGCGTATACGCAAAAACAAAAACTGCAAAAATACGTACCTCCTGGGTTGTATTTCACGATCTCCAGAAACGTTTTCAGAATGAGTCTGGGTTGCGAAAAAAAAGATTCAGGGGCCTAATAATTCAGGAGG